TTTCTTTCCTCCTTATTCCTACGAGTAATGTTTATGCAGGCGTTATATGTTTGGGCACCCATACACTCATCCCCCACTCTGGCGTTTTCTATGTCCACCGTCTTCCGTTGTTCTATCTGTTTACTGTGTAAGCGAGTGTTTACTCCACCTCTCTCTCCTCCTTCTCCCCCCCTCCATGTCATATGTTCCTCGCTATTGCCTTTATCGATGTTTCTCTTGCGAATAGTGCATGTGCAAGCATTGTGTGCCCGAGCCTCCATACTCCCGCTCCCCCCTATGTCCACCGTCTTTCGCTGCTGATGGCTATCGTTTCTACTCAAGACGGGTTTAAAATACCCATCCTGGGGGGAGTTAAGCTGCTGGTGGGGATACTCTTTATCTGTGATTGTTTGTCCCTTCACAGATCCAGGTGAAAAGTTACTTCCCCCTTCCCGCAGTGTATATAGATGTTTATTCCGCTTTTTCCTCTTTCTCTTCCCCCCTTTTTTTCTATCATGCGATCCTCGCTGTCGCCATCCATAACATCGGATTCCAAGGTCTTCTTGCTGGATCTTCTGAGTTCTCCACTGCTGTTGTCAGGCTTCAAAGGTGGGGGTCTGTCGGGATGGTGTTGGTGAAGACGCAGGTCCCCCATCAGCGAGCGCTTGCGTGTATTCGGCAGTGGCAAACTCCTCAGTTGTTCGTTGAGATGGCACTGGCATTGGTTGAGTGCTGTAGAGATGTTCCTGGTGCGTCGGGGGTTAATTAAGGCCCCATGTACTTGTTTGGGGTGGGGATCAGGTACCTCGTCGCAGCTACAATCCTGTAGGCATCGGCCAAACTGCTTGTGGCGATTGGAGTGGTAGTTAGAATCCCATTTCCTCAATGCTTGTTGTGTTGGGTGTAAATCGATATGACGGTTGATTGAGTCTCTGTTGGAGAACCAAGCCTCTTTCAATAGCCGGCCTCCTTTAGTGGCATCCTCAGACATAATGTGTGTATTCTCAAAGTCAAATTGGTGGCCATGTTGTGCCATATGCATCCATATTTGGGAATGCTGTTCGCCCCTTCTTATAGTTTATAGTTTATAAAATCAATTGTAAAAATTGCGATAGCAACTATGTGGGCAAAACAGCTAAGCGTTTAAGAACATGCTTACATGAGCATAAATTAGCCATAAGAAGGGGCGAACAGCATTCCCAAATATGGATGCATATGGCACAACATGGCCACCAATTTGACTTTGAGAATACACACATTATGTCGGAAGATGCCACTAAAGGAGGCAACGGCGGTTTTTAGTAAAGTGTATTTTTATACCTAAACTCTCCTTTATTTTAATATAATTATTGCACCATTTTATCACCATTACCAAAACAAATAAACAATTTGAGGAATTCCAAATCAGCTCTAACTATCGATCAATTTTCCAACAGTATATAGAGCATTTCTTCTGAAAGTGATCTATCAAGAACTAAAAATCAGTGGTCATGCAGCATAAGATAGTAGAAAGTATTATTTCACATATCTATGAAGAGACTAAATACCAGCTTTTGGGATTCAGGAAACATCTCTCAAGAATGCTGACTTTTTGTAGAATTTGGTCTGCATCCTTCTACTATCAAATCTGCAGATGATTTTAGCACAAAAATAGACAAGTATTGCAATTCTCACCATCCTTAAGAAGCATGGCTAATAGGGAGAGAAGTTGGGAATTATAGTTCAACTATAGAAATGCCACAGTTTGCATCCTATATTTAGCACCTTAACATTCTCAACTGGTTCAGAATATACTGAGAAATAGACTTGGGTACTAGCACATTGGTATATCTGCAATGCCTTCAGAATAGGAAAGATTAGGAAAGAGACATTAAAGAAATTTTAGGAATGCTATTATTGTCATACCCCACATGTTGTAGGATATGATAACACCATCTGCCCCAAATTCCAAACAAATTCAAGGCATGATTTTTTTTGATTTTTTTATACCGTCTCCTTTCCCAGGACTAAATTGTCTATTATTTTGCCTAAAATGTTTCTGTATAGTTCAAGTGTGTGCCTGTGTGTGTGTGTGTCTACGAGTGTGCATGCATACATACATACACAGAGACAGAAGAGGTGTGTGAAACATCACTGTTGAAATGCCTTGGAATCAAATGGAAGTTCTCCGGTCTTTTAAAGTTAATTTCAAAGTAATATTCAAACCATTATAACTACATCAAACCCCAAAACCAACTCACAGAAGCAGACTTTTTTTTAAAAAAATCACAGCTGATTATTTTAAAAGCTGATGATAATGGTTTCCTATCCAAATAAAGTTTTCTGACCATTACTCCAACCAAACTGTTTAGGTGTCACAGCTTATAAAATGTGCTAGGGAATATGTTTTAACTAATGGTTAATAACCATTTCAACACCCTTTCTATATCTATCCCATAGAGTTGGAATAATTTATCATAGCTTCAGTTATTTAAATCCCATACCTTTCAGCCAGTGGTGGGATTCAAATATGTGAACAACCGGTTTTCTGTGTGGATGCCGCTTCTGGAAGTCCATTCTGGGCCTGGGCAACAAAAAATTAGCTACCGATTCTGCCGAATGGTGCAAACTGACTGAATCCCATCACTGCTTTCAGCTGAGAAGAGCCTGATTGCAATTAACCTAATTTGGATCCAACATTGTTGACAGAATATGATGAATGGCCTCCTTCTGAGCACAACTAATTAGAAATGCCCTATTCCTTTACTGCTCCCCCTGTGCTATTCACTTGACAGAAATGCTGATTCTGTGGATGGCTCTCCCCTTACCTCATATCTGGAAAACAATGTGGTCATGCATGTATACACATGCAGAGAAATCTAGAATCAGCTTTTGATACCATTGACCAGGGTATCCTTCTGGGCCTGCTGCAGGAAGTGGCACTGTGTTGTGCTGATTCTCTTCCTTCCTCTGAGGTCAGTTTCAGTCAGTGTTGATAGCTGAGGAGAGGTCCAGACTGTGGCCCTTACTTTGTAAGGTGCCTCAGAGCTCTGTTCTTTCTCCCTTCTATTTAACATTTGCATGAGGCCGTTGGGTGAGGTGATCCATCTGTTTGGGCTGAAATATCATTAGTATATAGATGACACCCAGCTTTATATCTATACTCCAGTCCCCTTGAGTGATGCTATGGTTGTCCTATCCCAGTGTCTGGAGACTGATTGGGGCAAAATGGGTTCTGACTCAATCCTAGCAATATGGACTGGCTGTGAGTATTTGGACCTTCTGAAGATAAAGTTTTTCCATCTCTAGTTTTGGATGGGATGGCACTAGCCCAAACAGATCCAGTTCACAATCATGCTCCTGCTTGAAGAGAAAGTGGCCACCTAGGAGAGCCTTTGCACACCTTTGGGTAGTGCTCCAATTACTCTGATTTCTGGACTGGGAAGTTAGCTGTCACCCATGCCCTAACCCTGTTGACTTTTCACAAAGCTTTAAAAACATGGCTCTGCACCTGGGCTCTGAATGTATTATGGCCCCCATTATGTGATTTTATTATTAGCCAATTAATCATCACAAATGCTGTTTGCATGTCAAGCCTGAGAAATTAGGAAATCCAGGCATTTAAAACGAATATCAAGGTTTATTGCAAGCTTAAGCTATCTACAAGAATCTGAACTACTAATGACCAAAGCAAATTGGAGGTTGATAAGAGTCAATGGAATTCAAGATGGGCTGGAATCAGATCTCTTGTAGGCACAAAGGGACTCAAGACTGGTGATACATTTGACCCCTCCCTTGAGCTCAGTATACTTATTTATTTTATGGATATTTTATTATTTTAATGTTTTTAAAATTGTTTTATACTTTTAGAATTGTAAGCTGCCCACAATCAGTTGAGCAGCTATGGAAATCAAATAAATAAATACATACATACAGTTTTGAGAATTTGGAAAAGTCATTGTTTTAGCAATGTATACATTTATATATGCTTTCCCTTTTCTGAGGTTACCTTTTTCAAAGGACTGATATAACACCAGATGATAGCTTATATTTATTGTATGTAGTATGGGCTTCTTTATGCTGTTTTGTTAATGAATCAAAACCAGGAACAAATCTGTCAAGATAATTGATCTTTAGTTATCAGTAAATTTAAATGAGCAATTTGCCCAAAATCAATAAAATATTTACTGTTGTTAGTTGCAAAGTTGTGTCCAACCCATCGCGACCCCATGGACAACATTCCTCCAGGACTTCCTGTCCTCTACCATCTTCTGGAGTCCATTTAAGCTCATGTCTACTGCTTCAAAAAGCTGAAAGCCAAAAATATTTATTAGATATTATAAATGATGCCAACTATACCATAAGATTGAAAATACCCCACCTTTCTACAATATGTTACATATGATGAAATGATCATGAAAGAAATGAAATTAGAAGAATTTGTAAATAAGCTGCTAAAATAGATGTTAGACTCATAGATTTGCCTCTGATAGTTTGAGTTCATATTAATTCTCTGAAAGTTTTGTTTGATTAATTCAAATAATTGCTCATGCTTCTATCTGCTCAATTTCATATACTATATTTATTTATCTCCCTAAACCAAACAAAGGAATGCTCCATTCTTTTGAGTCTACTGCTTCCCATACAGTCTATTATTTTCATTCCTAAATCTAATCTCTCTTAAAAAGGTCTACTCCTCTTCTGAATAAGCCAGGGGAAAAAAAAGCTTTAATCTGTGCTCTGAGATTAAAAACTTTACCTGCTTGGAAGGTTTGATATAAATGTTGATGTCCATATCAGAGTCCACATTTGTGTGCTCTAAGAAGTAATATTTGTCCAGAGGCAGTCCAAGCTTATGGTTGCACTAAGTGCCTCATTCCAGTTTTGAATATATAAGCAATGTAAATAGATGCAAAGTAAGAACAAAAACAACCACAGTTCATGAATATCTGTTTTCCATTTCAGTGGAACAAAGTGAATGTTATTTCTTCATGAAACAAAACTGATCAGTCTTCTGCATCTTTCCTTTTGTCTTTCTGCAGCAAGAGATGAGAATGTAGCCACTTTCCGTGGCTCTGAATACCTGTGCTATGATCTCTCCCAGAACCCCATTCAAAGCAGCAGTGATGAAATCACACTGTCCTTCAAGACATGGCAGCGCAACGGCCTTATCCTGCACACGGGCAAGTCGGCTGATTATGTCAACTTAGCACTGAAAGATGGCGCCGTCTCACTGATCATTAACTTGGGATCTGGAGCCTTTGAAGCCATTGTGGAGCCTGTCAGTGGCAAATTTAATGACAACCAATGGCACAACGTAAAAGTGACTCGCAACCTGCGGCAGGTAATGAGGAAAGGAAGAGAACTGTGGGAAAGTTCTTTTGTAGTGAATAAATGTAATAGTAAATTGGTAGCTAGCTGATAGATGTATATCTATTTGGAGTAGGAGGAGCATCTAACCTCTAGTAACTTGAGGGAAAACAAGTGCTCATTCATTTACTATAACTTGGCCTCATTGCAATAACTTCATTTCTACTTGATAATTTTCTACCTTTCCCTATATCCAATTTGTTTTAACACTACTATTTTGTGACTTAACTTCACTTTTATATCATTTTTCCATTGTACTTCCCTCTTTTTCCTTTCTTTTTTTTCTTATTTCCTTAATTTCATTTCAATCTTATCAGTAATATTCTTGTTGCATTTAATTACAGTAGGAATGGAAAGTATTTTCTGCAACAGCTTTATCCACTTCCTTTTTCTCCTTTTATGTCCTGGTAATTGATTTAACTATTTTTGCAATGTCATTACTTTAATTCTCCAATGGGCCTGATTCATCTGGACTTTCTTTTGCACAAACCTTTTACAATGAATGACAAACTGCATTGCTGCACACACCTGAGAATGATATCTGAGCAAGATTATTTCAAGAGTGTATGTGCGGGTGGATTTTTTAAGTGGATTGGGCTGATAATAGTCTTTGTTTCTTCTGTTTCTCTCTATTTTTCTTCTGTATGTGAGGTACTTATTTTAACCTTATGCTCCTGATACTGGCCATACTTTTTCCAGATCTCCTTATTTCTTTACTTTGATTTTCATTATGAAGCTATGCTACTACTGCTTTTGTCTCTATCCATCTTTCCCTGCGATGCCTGCATAGACGAGGAACACTACTTTGAAGACCCCCTCCCCATATCTTTATTATTAATAATATTTTTACCTTTTATAACTCCATTTATTAGTTCTCTAAACACACAGCTCTGTCTGATAATATTTCTACTTAGATAGCCAGACTTAAAGTATCAAAACTCTTCCATCTCCCTAAAATATACACTTAAGCTTTTAATAGGTACAGAAGAATATAAATAACCTTCCTTCTGAAAGCTGGTGAAATATATTAAGTTACTTGGACCATTTGCAGCATGACAAATGAATTTTCTATTGTGTATATATTCCTTATTGATTGATAAATGTTGTGTAGTTTGTCACCCAAGATTCTTGCAAATATGCATATTAAAACTAATCATTTTATGCTTTATGGGGAAAAAAAGCTAACTTAAGGAATTTCTATAATAATATAAAATAATAAACTGTGTATGTCTAAGGATATTAACAATCACTATCAAGTTCTAGGAAAATTTTTCTCTCTCTTCCCTCTCTCCCTCCCCCCAAATTGGGATTTTTTTCCCCGAATTTTTCCCAATTTTCAGAGCCTTCTCATATCAGCAGTCCTTTAACAAAATCACATATTTTTTTTCAAAGGCTATAAGAATTGGAGCCAATCTGACTTCCACAGGAATTCTATTTTGTTTAAGGGGAGCAGTAACTAAGATGGCCCAACCTCATAGTTACTGCAGATGGCACTTCTTAGGGGCAGGGATCTGGAAGGAGACTTCTCTTAATTCTTCAGAGATTGGCAAAAGTGACTTAAAATAGCAGTTCCACAGATGATCAGATGCTGAGCCATGTAGGAATTTAAAGTTGACAACCAGCATCTTGAATTGCACTCAGAAGCATAATAGTAAGCAAAGCATGTGGACAAACTCACTGCTTGAGCTATTAAATTCTGGACTAGCTGAACTTTATGGGTCCAAACAAGTCCAAACAAGAGCTGACCAAGGCATTGGTGATAGTAAGCAAAACCATAAATGTTGCATATATTCCAGCATTCGAAGTCTAATTTGTTGCTGTTCAGTCATTGAGTGACTTCCAAGTCTTAAATTACTCAACATTTAACTAAGCGTGTCTGTCAGTAACTGCTTCTATGAATTCATAGATTTCATAGATTTGTGATAGCAGGAATAGTATCTAGCAGCCTTGCTTTTGCTGTCGTTTTTTATTATTATTTTATTTCCCCCCCCCCAAGCATCATGGCCTCATCCTCCAGTGACTTTTGCGTCTGGTTTTATTTCATCTAATATAAAATTATTACTTCTTTCAGTCCAAGTATTTAGTTTTATTAATTTAGTATTTCTGATTTCACAACCGTTTGTTTATTTTAGAGGTTCACAAAATTAGCTCTCTCACAGTTTTCCTTAGTTTTCCAACTGGAAAATCACACTTCAGTATACCTTTTTTATCCGTTATTTTAGATAGTTAGATACTAAAAACTCTTTGCCTGTTTTGAGGTGTCTTTGAAACAAGAACACTTAATTTTGTATCTTGGGGAACACCAACAATACAGCTTTTCTAGATTAGTTTTATGTTTTGATTGCCGTAGTAATTCTTATTATCACTTCTAAATGTTCTTTGCTATGTTTTTAAATTTAATTTCATTCAGAACAGTTTAATTTAATTTAATTTGCCCATAGATATTTTCAGTTTTTAAAGAATGTTGCATTTGTGTCATTCTGTTCCAGAGAATCAAATGTTTAATTTCTAAACATCTGATATATTTACATACCATAATAATAGTATAATATCAGGCCAAGCTCTGGTTAAAGTAGCATAGGACTATAGCACTACATCTGAAGGCAGACATTATTTCCCTTGGACTAATTATCTTATGTCATTTAAACTTTGTCATTGACTGGAAATAGTTGGTCATGCACATATATTTTCACACGCTACAAGCATACATTTTTATAATTGTTGTTCTTTGAAATTCTTTTTCAATTTAATACCATTTTAGTTAGTGGTATATTATTTTTCTGTAAATACAGAAGAATTTCATTTAATGATAGGCAAAATCCAAAGTAAAACTAATATTTCTAGCTATAACCCTGTTAATAACCATTTTGTTGAATAGAGAAATCACTATACATTCAAGGTAGTTTGTGCCCCAGTAAATTTCCTATATGGTTATTTTAACAAAAACATTTGTTTCACTTAATGGAAACGTTGTTAATGGTAGAATTGGTATTTTTCACCAGCACTTTCAGAAAAAGGTTGGCAATATTATTTGTTTTTCTTGTAGATATACTTAAATATGCAGATCCAAACAAAGGAAATGGTTCAAATTCTATATATCATGCTGCTCAGTCATACTTATCAGCATGTAATGAAAGCCTTCTTAAAATAATAATTTTCATGTTTAAAAAAAAGAATCTGAAAATAGCACTTGCATTGCTGCTCCAATATCTTTCTGCTAAATATTTTATTGATTTGATTTTGAAGCCACCAAATTCCACAGTGACAATTTTTAAAAAACAACACATATATCAAAAAAGAACATCATTTACCAATAACTGTTATGCTCCTGTTTTTGCCTTTTCATCAAAATAGTATTTAAGGATGCTATATTTATATTATTAACTTCAAATAATAAAATATAGTAGTATAAATAAACATGAAACAAAGTTCTTTGAAATTGCAAAATCTAAATGTATCTGAGCAGAAGATTGAACAGAACAACCTTATTGGTCCAATGTCAGGCAACCCACAATCGCTTAAAACAATATGGAACTTAATTTTGCAATTAAAGGACTGTAGCATTTTTTCCAATAAATTTTAGATAGGCTACAGATGTTACCTTTTTTTGTCCTTGTGCATCTCTATTAAAATAAATTTAGCAGGTTATTGAAAGACTAGAAAAATGAGAAAAAACAATGAAAACTGTAAAATCTATTTGATGAGGTGAATGTACACATTACAGGGAATTACCCTTTAGTTTTGACGTTTCAGAAAAAAAATACTTGTCTCTCATATTTGCATAATCAAAGGATTCCAGCACCCATTGGAAACTAGAAGAACTAAAAGCTCAGTCATCAGCATATATTTCCCCAAGTTGGTAACATCTCTAAACACTACTAATTAAACCTTTCTTTAAAGTCCTTCAAACAAATAAGTATCACCATAATTATTAGCATCTATAGTTTGGCGATTTGAAAGTCAATTATAAAACTACCCATGGGTAAGTCTTCCCTTTCCTCAAATGACATGTTAAATTCTGTCAACCTTTTTCCATTCATTCCAAAATATCTGATGCAAGCAATCTTCATGCCTCCTTCAATTAGGGAAACTTCTCCCCACTTTCCTGAATATTCAGGTGAGCTACATGTTGTCTCTGTTAATTGGAACTTTTATATTCTGTATGTCTTTCCTGAAAGTTCAACTACTGTAAAGGAAAAAAAATAACCCTGGGAATTGGTGAGTGCGTAGGGCAGTCCCTCAGAATTGTCAAACAACTGTCTGTACCCAAGAGATAGGTTGAGTTGGTTAGAACATCTGAGCTATACCAGAGGGTAGCATTGAATGGAACTCTAAAAGGAAGTAGAAATGGATTGGGAAGTGGGACAGAATGGTTGAAATCACTCATGATGGTTTGTCATTATTTATGTGGGTGGAGAGATAGAGAGGGTAAATACATATTTGATTTTCACTTGAAAAGTAAGTAATGTTTGTATCCTTCAAATTCTACTCCGGTTTTAGAGGAAATGTCCTTTGTTTCTCAGAGTGTGATGGGTAACTAATAGGATAAGAATGGGAAGGGCAGGCAGCTCCCTTCTTCTAACAATCTCTATGGCATGGTTCCCAGACAGTCCTGCTCATGCTGTCCTCTTTTTCACTCTGTGTGTGTCGGGCACCCCATGCCTTTTTTTGAAAAACTAACACTAGACCATTCATGCAATGTGTCATTTTTACTAACCGACTAATGTACTAACACCCTAACGACTCATCTTTGCTTTTGGTTATTTTAATTAACAATCGTTCTGTTCACAATTTTTTAATTTCCTTTCTTCCCCCTTTTCCGCAAAGCACTCAGGCATTGGACACGCTATGGTAAACAAACTACATTGTCTGGTAGATATCATTCTTATTGTCTCTTTTTTTGGGTTTGCCGTGTGTTATCTTCCTTTCCCTCTCCATCTCCCATCCCCTATTTTTCTTCCCCGTTAAACTTACCTTCTCCTTCTTCTTCTTCTTTTGATTTTGCTGTAGCTACCTTTTCTTCCTATTTGTATTTTTATATATTTTCCATAGGACAAAAACAAAGGAAAATAAATATAACTGTCCTGGAAATGGGATTTAATTATCTCTTTTGCTGGCTTCTTCACTTTATCTATTTTAAAATATTTTTATTCTATTTTTGTCAATATTTTGCTAATCCCTTTTCTTTCTTCCCTTCAGTTCCCCCCCCCACTTTTTTTAGTTTGGGGCGGTGAGATTTTCTTTTTTTTTTTTTTTTTTCTGATATTCTGAAGGTTTTTAACTCAACTACCGTGTCAGGGCCTATTGTTAGGGTGAGCCCAGTCTTTTTCCCTTCATTTTTTTTTTTGCTCTAATAACAGCTATTATAGGCAAAACTGGGCCAAGCTTCCCTCTTTTTTTCTCCATCTTAACCTCTTCATCGGGCCTCCACACATATTCTTCCTCTGTCTTTTTGAAATTCCACCAGCCATAACCAACAGAAGCTCAGCCAGTTGTTTGTTTCAGGGCAATATATACGCTGCATGGCATGTCTATGTCTGGTTAATCCCCACCTCCTTTCCCAACCATCATACTGCAGCTACCTCTCCCAGTCTCTTCACCAAGCCACTAATCTAACTTTTAAATCACATACATATATCATTTTCTCAACCTTCGTTTCCTGTCCCTCCCTTCTGTTTTCCATTGCTCTCCATGAATTATGGGGTTTGGACTATTTTTAGATTTTTTAAATTTAGTTTTCCTTTCTTTTAAGCCTTGGGTGGTTTTTCTCCTTTTGTAGTTTATGGTTTCATTAAGGATTGCATGCAAGTGTGAAAAAAATCTCTTTCAGGATACTTCTTGTCCTTCTGGATTTTGAAAAACACTGGCATGGGTGTGCTGAAGTGCAGAGAGTGAGCACGTTTGCCAATTTGTTTTCTCTTGTTTTCAAATTCACTTTATATTTTTCATTTTTGCTGGTGTATGGTTGACTTCTTTCTTTTGTTTTTGTTTAATCCTGATTTTTAATTTTTGTACTTTTTTTTCTTTTTAAGTTGCAGGACTGGGTGGTGGTGGGTATCTTTGTAGGCACATAGCATGTTCATCCATAATGTATTGAAAGTGAGATCCCTTTCCTTCCTCCCTTCCCTGAATGCATGATCATTTGTGTGCTGTGAGCCAAATAAATACAAAGAAGCAAAATCAAATATATCAACTTCATTATTAGTGTCTTTGCTAACAGTCATAACTAACAATAATCACTACCAATAATGGCTAATCAATCATATTATCAGCTCAGATAAGCGCTCCCGTCCACTAACTGCTCCATTTTCTGGCCTTATTAAATGGAAGCCATCATGGCAGGTAGAATAGCTCTCTTTGGCCGTAGCAAAGTTGAACTAGCAAAGCAGGTGATTAAGGACTTGGAGTGAAGGGACAAAAAGCAGACCAGAAAATGGAACTGAGCTGCAATGAATCAACAAAGTTCAGCAAAACCTATCCTAAAAGTTTTATAAAAATAGGGAGAGGACTTACTATTTTAAGAACCGTACGATCATTGCTGGGAATTTTGTTTTTTCTTTTCCCTTTTTTTTGTTTTGTTTTGTCCATTGCATCCTTCGAACAGGTGACAATCTCTGTGGATGGAATCCTCACCACTACTGGCTACACACAAGAGGATTATACTATGCTTGGCTCAGATGACTTCTTCTATGTTGGTGGAAGTCCCAGTACAGCTGATTTACCTGGATCTCCTATCAGCAATAACTTCATGGGTTGTCTGAAGGAGGTAAATGTTTCAAATGAACAGCATTATTTTGCTTTGTATTCTTTGTTAAATAACTTCTTTGTCTGCCACTCATCTTTCTTTCTTTATTGAATATCATACATGAATATCATTGGCAAACTTAGCCTGTCCTCATATAGTTGAATGAATCATCCATATGTAAGAGGAAAGCACACTGACAATCTTGAAGAAATCTTAAGGTTTGCAGAAGTATAATAATATTGAAGAAAAGTACATTAAAGAGTTCCAGGAAGACAGAAAATTCTGTTTGACCAGGAAATATTGACTGCTCTGAAAATAAGAGGAAATGGAATGGGGTATCCCAGTATAAAGGGGCGCATTGGGTGGGCTGAGTTTTTTGTAAATGACATTAGATGAATACTGTATTAAATAAAGTGGATTCCTTAGTGAAATCTGCTTCAAAGAAGATTTGCAGTTTCAATGACAGCAGTCAAATCAGCAAGAGTGATGGCAAAGAAGGATTTAATAGGAATATTGAGATAAGATTTGATTTAGGTGGCGAAGAAAAGAATTGGCTGTTTATGATAGAATATGGCTTAGAAAGTGCTGAAATTTTTTTTAGAAATGAATTACTGAAATATGTGGGAACATGGGGGATTTAGAGAGAAAAAAGTTGCAAAAAATGTAGTAAAAAAGTTGCAAAAAATGTAGTATAATAGAACAAGATGAAAAAGGCACAATTTTCATAGAAATTTTTTTAAAATGAGGGGAAAAAGCTAAACAAGGAGCTCCTACCAGATTGAATGGAATGGACACCTCCCCCCTGTAAATTATATTTGAAACTAAAAGAAAAAAATGATTGAATAAGCATTTAGAGGTTTACAAATGTGTGATAGTGATCCATCAAAGAATAAAACTGAAATGAATGCTCTTTTAGTGTCAAAAAATAAGGTGAAAAGGAAGTAATCAATTATGTGAAACTATTGAATGGGTAAGATCCAGAGGTAGATGGGGAAATATTAAAATATGAATCTAATATATTTTTGAGTGATGCACAACTTGCTTAACATCTATGCAAAGATTGCATCTATGCCTGATTATTGGAATAATAATAATTATTGCCATTATTCCCCTTTATTACCTGTCTGTAACAAGTAGTACTATAACCACCACAAACACCTGCAGTAATCCTGATGCCTTTGAAGCCCACCATTAACTTTATGTATATCTGGCTTGCTACTTCTCTTCACAGTATTAGACCATTCAAACAATCTGAAAAAAATAGATGAAGGTTGGCATCATGTCTAGAGTCCCTAGGATTCAATAGTTGCACATGCTGGGAGCAGAGAAGAATTCTGGTCATAATCTCCCCATTCTCAATTGAATCAAAGCTATAAAAAACATGGTTCAAAATCAGACTTGGAACAACTGAATTGTCTCCTTTAAATCCATGCCATTTTTTTATCATCCATTTCAGACAGAACGGTTTTTACATCCAAGCTTTGAACAGATGATTAATGGTTTAATTTCTAATACCTTTACATTTTATTGAACCCTGCTATGTCTCTGCATCTGGTGAACCAAGCCATTTAAAGCTGTGTTAATTTTGCTAATTGCTCTATGTTTATTTAGATGACTGGCACCTGCAGGTTTTGGGATCATGTTTAAGGCTTTATAGTCTCCCTGTTCCTTAGTGAGGAAAATGGACAGGATAGTTTCCTCAGTTAAAACCAATAACCTTGGTAGAAAGTCCTAAATCATGTTTATCCTTAACTCCATTATCTATCACAGCTGAAAGCAATGGTTCAGAGTAAAGAATGTTGGCATGTCTAAGATAGCAGTCATACTATTAAGCAACCATTTACTATTTCAAGAAGGTGATGGTCAGATCAGAGAAAAAGCATTTGAAAGAACACCACTTTGTTTTTATTATTTATCAAATTTGTTAGCTACCAAAAGTTTCTGACAAACAACATATAAAAATAGTTGAACAAGATATAAAAATACAATAAATATAAAAAAACTAAATAAAATATATGCCTTAAACTTCTGGAAACACTCTTTATTCAGCTTTTACCAGAAGTCATATTTTCCAGAAGACCAAACTGAAGACAAACTAATTTCCATTAGGAGGTCATTCCAGAAGGCCAGTCCTATCAGCAAACAGCAGTGCTTCCAGGCTTTACCCTTTTTTTGAAAATGGTGGAAATCAGTGCTTCTCCTGTTATGAGCATAGTTGTTGGGCTGATATTAGTGTGGAGACGTGGTCCTGAGATAGCCATGTGCCAAACAAAGGTCTTTATAGGTCAATGACAGCATTTTAAATTGCACTCGGAAATTAATAGGAAGCCAGTGCAAGGCCTGAAAACAGGTATAAAACCTGTTCAATGTTCAGCTTATGTGAACACCCTACTTATTGCATTTTGCACCAACCAAAGCTTCTGGGTGGTTTTTGTAAAGCGGGTTCCAGTGATCTAAATGGGCTGGTGATGAGAGTATGAGGCACTGTACTCAGATCTTTCACTTCAAGCTGGGCTGCAATTGGTAACCAGCCCAAGCTGGGCAAAGGCTTTTCTGCCACAGCTTCCACCTGCTGGTCTAACAGGAGGTAGGAGAATACCCAAATTGCAAATCTGCTTCTTCAGAAGCAGGGTGGCTCCATCTGGAGACAAAACAAAGGGCATAAAGCACACCCTATGTATAACAGTAGCTCAGTCTTGTTGGCATTTAGTTTAAGCCTGTTCTCTTCCATCCAGACCTACAGGCTTGCCAGGCACCAGGACAGGAGTTCAGTGAAATTTCTGAACCAGGCTGGGATTGTATGCAACTGGTATTATCAATGTATTGATTCCAAACCTCCCCCACTATAGAGGGCAGATAAATGGCCTTAAGAAACAAAAGCAAAAGCTGCTACCAAGGGAAACAAAAGGGGCCTGTGATAAGAGTAAATGTCTCAGAGAGTTCACATGAAGATAAAGGGAGATTTGCAAGATTGTAATAAAAACACAACTGAGCTATATGCCAATAATTTCCTAGTCTGGCTTTTCTTAAAGGGCTGACACCCATATAAATATTGAATAGCAAGCAGAAAAGCACTGATTCCTAGGTATCCTACAAGAAGCAAACATGATCTTTCTCCCCCCAAATTACCACTGACTGGAACCAGCTGCTGGGGAAGGAATAGAACCACTGGATAACAGTACCACCAAACCCTAGAGCCCATCCAGAGGGGTACCAGGATTGAGAGTGTGCTGGAGCAGTAGGCCTCAGATTTGGGGGAAAAAAACCTCTAGTAAATGCCATCAATCTCCCAGGTGTACTGGGGGACTTGTGCCATCTCCTCATCTCACCATGCTAAGGAGGCCTGGGCCCTCTCCCCTATGCTCTGCTTAACAACACAATTGAGAGACCTGGAATTAGGGGTGTTGAGCGAAGTGGTCACATGGTGTTTCATTTAATGACTGCTTTACTCACTTGCTGAGATTCTGAGCCTAATTGTAAGTGGAGGATTACCTGCACTGAGATTTCAAATCTCAACATTGCTGATCAAATAAAGTAACTAATGTTTCTGTTTTCTGCCCAAGCCTAAACTCTTAATTGATATAGGTCTAGATGATCCTTTTCATCTAGGAGTTCCATAGTTGTCCCCATGTTAGATGTGAAACCCCAGGTCCAGAAGTAAAGGTTCAATTAAGCTGATTTATTGCTAAAAACCTATGCACAGGAATCTTCTCAACTAATGATCAGCACCTGGTTAGAGTTAAGTAAGGGTCAATGTCACTCAAGGGGATAGTGATCTTAGTTTGCTTGTGGTTGCATAGGGATTATTTTCATTCAGCCCCCAACTTCTGCCATTCCTTCTACAACCCATACCTTTGTCACAACAAAGGAAGGTTGGAGACCAAGCATGGTTATCTAATATCTTCAGATCCAAATAAATTAGAATAAAATAGATGTAGACAGATGATTATTTATATATTACCCCTCAGCAACTTGAATTTTCTCATTTTTTTTTTTGCCCCTGCATTCTTTTCCAATTTTCTTGTGCTGTTTGTAATGCATTCAAGAGTATTAACAAGAGGGGGTGATACTTATGGAACAATATAAGATCAAACAAATAGAGTCATTTTTATTTTATTTTTATTGTAGTTTTATTATTATTATTTTAATATGTCCAGTCTTAAACAGGCTGCTTGCAAATAACATGTGCACTTTCCTATAATAAGGAGTAAGTGAATATGTGTTTTTAGTGGGAAAAGTGAGGGATTAGAGCAAAATTTACTGCCAGTCTTAAAAGTTCAGATTCAAAAATTTACATATATTTATCAGTTACTGACAAGTTAATTTGCTATGTTTAATTTTAAAGTGGTAAAATCAGGTAAATTATTATATGTATATGAAGCAATAGCATTTTGAAACAGTACCTTTTAAATCTGGTTATTATCATTTTTTTAAAACTGATAAATGAAGAGACCCCTATAGATATATAATCTTAATCAAAAATATGTGGAAATATTTAACTCAGGAAATTAATTTAACTTTAACTCAGGAAATTTTAAAGCTAAGACATGGGAAGAAGCTCTGCTATTTATTTTCCTGTGGCTATTATTTGTGAGAGCACTCCTTGTTCTGAGCACTCTCAGTCTGTCTAGGACTGTCTGCTTCTAGAAATATTTGAAGGAAGAGAATAGATCTGAACTATCTCTAAGCAATGGACTGCTGCTAAGAAAAAAAGATGATTCATTATAATGTTCTTAAGAATAGCTAAACACTGAAGGCAGAAGAACACCTACCTAAGCTTATATGTCCTTGACTTTTAAACTGTATTCCATTTTTCATTTCACTTTATTACTATGAAACATTACCACATATCTATAGTCTCATCTAACCCAGAATTTTGGTTATGGTTATGGCCATGTGGTTCTCCCTCTCTCATTCTTTTTTCCTCTTCATTTTTTAAATCTGGTTATTAACTGAGGGATTTTCCTAGGGAGTAGGATCATGAAATACAGTGTCACCTATATATCTATTTATTTATTTAC